CCGCCCCCCCCCCCCCGGCGGCCCCTCCCCCCCCCCCCCCCACCCCCCCCCCCCCCCCTCCCCCCCACCCCCCCCCCCCCCCCCCCCCAGGCGCCCCCCCCCCCCCCCCCATTTCCCCCCCCCGCGGGGGCGTTCCCCCCCAACCCCCCCCATTCTCCCCCCTCCTCCCCCCCCCTTCCCTCCCCCCCCCCCTCCCCCCCCCCCCCCCCCCCCCCCCCCCCCCCCCCCCCCCCCCCACCCCCCCCCCCCCCCCCCCCCCCCCCCCCCCCCCCCCCCCCCCCAAAACCCCCCCCCTCCCCCCCCTCCCCCCCCCCCCCCCTCACCCCCCCCCTCCCCCCCTTTTCTCCTCTTTTTTTTTCCTCTTTTTTTATCCCTTTTTCCCCCCTTTTCCTTTCCCCCCCTCTATCCTTTTATTCCTCCCCCAAAAATCCCCCACTCATTCCATCTTTTCCCCCAACCTCCCCCCCCCCCCCCCACACCCCCCCCCCCCCCCCCCCCGGGCCAAAAAACCCGCCCCCCGCCCCCCGCCCCCCCCCCCCCCCCCCCCCCCCCCCCCAACACACACCCCCCCCCAAAATACCCCCCCCCCCCCACCAACAAAAAAAAACAAACCACCCCCCCGCGCCGCCACCCCCCCAACGGGCGCGGCGCCGCGGCCGGGGGGCGGCCCCCCCTTTCGTTTTGTATATATATACATATACATATAACACTATATATAAACTAAAAGTACAGAAACACCAAAAAACCACTAAGGATGGTGCCTGACGGGTTACACCACAGTACAAATTTTAATTCCTAATAAACTAAAGAGTTAAAAACATACTATTAATACAAAAAATTAAACGAAAACATACAACAAACAGAGAGAGAGAAAAAAACCATTTTTATACCATATAGGTAATAAATCTATCTATCTTAAATTTATGACCCAAGCAATAACATCCCAGGTTGGATAAAAAATACCTTTATTACAGATACCGGCAAACATCTTGAACAAATGTCCTTGCCTGCGCAGAAGCGATTTTTAGGTATCACTGGGAGGGGTGGCGGCGGGAGAGTGAGTGACGTGTCGATCGCGTGATTGGTAAATCAGTTGACGTTTGTGTCCCGCGATGCGCAAACTTTCCCCCACTCCCTTGTTTAATGCTCAAGAAGTTTGCCGCTATCTGTACCTTTACAATTTTCGGGTGTTATTTGCAAATTTCAATATAAATTATAATATATAAATTCCTATTTCTGTCACAAATCGATTTTTAGGTGTAATGCCGCTTCCTCACGATGTGTTCTATTACAAGCATTCCTAATATATATGGGGTATATATCGATTATAATTCGTTGTTTATCGAGTTCCTATCCAATGCACATAACAATGGCTCAAATTTAGGCGCGATACATATTATGCCAGCTCACTGGTCCGAATGATCGCCCAAATTGTTCGCTAAATATATTTGAAGGTTTAGTTAGTGGAAAATCAGAGATCAATGGTGTATAATGCGCTTATGTTTTATACTCTTTAGAGTCCTATTTTTGGAAAAATAACGTTGAATATAATTGATTATTTGCGTGAAATATTATAATTAATATTAATTTGATAACGTAATAATATATTTTATAGTGATGATATAGTGATTAAATAATATAAGAATTGACTATAATGACTCATAATGTAATTGTGACTTATATTCTACCTTTTAAGAGAAATTTGCACGCCATTATGTGTGCCAGAATATGCGAACTTTCGACCACCATAACTCACACCATAATTCTGTGTGTTCTCGTGTTAATATTTTTCACAATAGTAAATATTATAATGCAATAGTAAATTAATAAATATGAATTTAATAAAATTATTCGCGGTGAAGACTTGCAACCTGAGTAACTTCATTTTTCGTAATTAAATTGCATATAAATATTATGTATACTGTATGTAATAGTTAATATTTAGTAAACCAGCACTGAAGATGCCACTAAAATGCTGTGTACATATAATTGGACTTCAGGTTTACAAATGTTGTTTAGTTTGTAATAACTTTATGTATATAATCAATTTGTTTTCTGTTTCTGTACCAAAAATTTAAATTTAATAGAAATAAATTTTTGGTACCATATTCTTGCACTAAATCATTTTATTTAATTAATTATATTATATAAAAAAATTGGCAGTTAGGCACACCTGCATCGGCGCGGTTTGCGAGTGCGTTACCGGCTTTTAAGAAATGGATACGCTGTTCCCCTTAATTAAGTTTAATAAATCAAAAGACGTTGTATTGACAGTATTTAATTTAATTTATTTAGGTACACACCTAATTTGAGACAGGAAAATTTTGTCTAACATTTTAGTCTGAAGGTTTTCCCATTTTCGAACGGAGTGCATTCTAAATTTAAAATAGAGAAACCGCAAAATTTTACCGGACATATAAAATTCAAGATTAGTTTCAGTTGAAGCGGAAGCTTGAAAATAAATTTTAAAATTTCATTCGACTTCCGTAGGCGCCGCCCGGGGTTGCTATATTCAATCTGGGTATTTCCGTATTTTTACATTCAACGAAGACAAAATCTAAGACTGGAACCTTTTGCTTGATATTTCCGGAACCTAATAAACTGCTGCAATTTTGCAACATCCGGCTTAGGCGCAGTCGAATATTTTTCTAAGATAAGAAAGAAGAAGAGGAGGAGAAACGAAGAACTTTCTCAATAAACACTATAAAATAGCAAAAAAAATATAGTTTTAGTACTAAAACTTCGGTTGTTTTATATGATAGATTACAAGTTTGAATATACATATATATTTATTTATTTGGATTACATATATTGGATTATAGACTATACAGACAGTCTACTACTATTAAATAAATCGGCATATTGATATAGCAACACTCGCCTATGGGTTTAGTTTCATGGTAACACTGTGACGGTCGCCATTTTGTCAACATTTTCAGTTTTTTTTATCAGCGAAAGCGCGTATACCGAAAGCGTTATAAAGACTCAAAAAATACCGAAGTACCATTGATTAAACACTAAATGCAATATACAATTTTGACTTGTCTAATTAGAAGTGATTTCGAAGTACAAATTGACAGATTCATTCCTAAACGTTAATTAAAACTTAATTCCCGAGTACCACGAATTCGGCAATTAGAACGTGTAGGGTTGACACACTTCACTGTTTCAACTTTCAATATTTGTTAGTGGGTTTCTCTGAATATTTTTAATTTATTCAAACTATATTTAAAAAATCTCGTGTTTATAACCAAACTCCTTCAAAACGACTTGACCGATTGCTTGTATATTCGGTAGGTCTGAGAATAGATTACACTCTATTTTATACTGCTAATGGATATTGGGCCACCTAAAAAAAAATTTTTTGGACAATTTTTTTGTGGTTTATTAAATTAATAAATAAAAATATATACATTTTGAACCATCTCCTCCAATCCCCAATAGCAATTTTAGCTAGTTTCAATAAGTATAAAGGATTTCTGCTAGAAAAAAACCTAGTTTTGTTTGTTTTTTATCAAATAGTCGAAAATCAATATTTATTTTTATATTAAAAAAGGGATTAAGTTATTTCATATACAAGTAGTATATGATGATGCTCTTTGAAAAATATAATGATTTCGTATTTAACTAGTACGATAACTCTATCCTTTATACGGTGTTAGAGTATTTAGACCATAAGTTTTGACAAAAATTATAATTAACTATTCCTCTTATTTTGACATCATGATAATTAATATGACATTTGCATGACTATTTTATGTGCTGATTAATCAATCTGAATGTACCACGTTCTTTGCAATAAACTATTTATTATTATAATTACATATTAAATATGTTTTACACAAAAGAAGTTGCGGATATAATGTAAGGACTAGGGCAAAAATTCAAATAGATTGGTGAAATAGTACACTCTTCACCAATCACAAACAATAACCTTTCCTCTTTTCTGGTATTGTGAGAGATTTTTTAATTCAGCCATTGCCAACCCCAAATGAACGACATTTGAACACTGTGCAGGAAGTTGGTTAAAACTGCAATATTGGATGCCACGTCATGTTCTAATTACGCTTTATAATTAGTTTGCCAGGTCAACTTTCAACTCTGTTGGTATTTTGAATTTAGATATATTATTCATAATTAAGATTTTATAAATTAAGATTTTTTTTATTTTTTTTTATTTACACAAATACAGTATTTACAATTTTCTTAACCTATAAAGTAATAATAAAAATAATTAAAAATAAATAAAATGAAAATCAAAACAGATTTAAAAAGTTTGGTCCCTGTGGCAGTGTACCTAAGAAAATTGTAAATACTGTATTGGTGTAAAAAAAAAAAAAAAATAAAGTTTTTTTTTATACTGTATTTGTAAATAATTTATTTTATGTGTACATCATATACGTATACAATAGCGGTGTGTTTATAAAGTTTTTTGCATAATCAATTCTTTCATCGTTTTCAACGCTTTGTGCGTTTATATCTGGATAGTTTGACTAGATTCCATAGATCGGGGATTTTATTAACGCAGGGGCTGCTCCAAAATGTACATCAAATTCTATCGGAACTATTAACTTATATATTACTAAAATAAAAAAATAAAAACTTTATTAATGACAGAAGAATTTGTGACAGAAATCATAAATCGCTAGTCCCCACACCAGGGAGGCCCTGTGTTGTGGGTAACTAGAAAACAATTATTTCGTGGTACTACATGTTTAAATTAGTTAAAAAAAAAAATTATAATAAAAAAGAATAAATAATAATAATAGTTATAAATTTAGTGTTACAAATGAAGTGAATGAGTGAGTGTGTGAATAGGTGAGTATGCGCATGTATTTGAGAATGTAGCTGAAAGTTAATTATGATCGTGCACTGTTATGTCTATTTGTCTGTGTTAGTTTATGAAACCTCAAAGTCATACCAAGATATGTAGTAATGCCTCTGTAGATTCGAATTTCTATTAGCTATACTTGATAAAGTATTGTGTAGTAGCAACTTACGTCGTAAGTATATCGTAGACAGTATATCTGGCCAGGAATGAATACCGATGCAGCTTCCGTGGTGATTGGGCGAGTAGAAGGAACCGTCGATCGGCGGACAAAGAGAACGATGTTGGCTCTAGGACCCTCTGAAAATGAACAAGAGATAATTATTATATTACAACCAATCTTAGCTTTCAAGTATCACATCTGGCATAGTCCAATCACTGAAAGAGACGAGGGAAGGTCATCTCATACTTTTCATCATCGGACGTCGAGGCAGAATAAGATATTCCACCCGTATCACCTCGACGTCCGTCGTTCCAACCCCCATTCTGTAACTCACTTTCGAACTCACACAGCGGTTTTAGAATCAGCGGTCGCTCTCAAATCAGTCGTGAAGCAGTCATTTTATGATTTGGCATTCTGAAAAGGTCCCCGCTTGTGGTTTATTGTTTATTAAGTGAGTTTGAAAAGTGAGTTACAGAATCGCAGGGCTGAGCAGTTTTTGCCGCGCACTGCCACTATGTGAAAGCAGCTGCTTATTGAAGTATTTCAAAATCAATTAGACTTAGGGTCCTTAAAGAACATTCGCGAGCCCTATGGCATCATAACATAAGCATCGGGTAAGCTTCCTTCCCTATTGTCCCCTGTTCTATGAAGATGAGAAAGATGAGTTGGTAGTGGCTATTTAACCGCCATTAGACCATAATCTTTTACCCTCTGGACTCTTGCGATGAATAATTATATATCGTATCTATGTCCATTTTAACAAAACAATATATTTTATTCCTTAATATATAGATTATAATATACTGATAATGTAATTTTAATTATTTAATAGACAATCTATAAAATTTTAAGGGGTTTGTATTTTACGAGGATCAAGAATTGTGTAGGCCATAAATCGCCGGTTCGGAGGTGTTATAGGCGTCAGAGCTTTGCGCTTTTCTTTAGCGAATACAGCATGAAAAAGCTGCCAGAATTGGAAGCTTTTACGCTATGGAGTTCTTTTTATAGAACAGGGGGCACACGGGTAGGAGGCTCATCTGATGTTAAGTGATACCGCCGCCCATGGTCACTCTCAATGCCAGAGAGCTCGTGCGTTGCCGGCCTTTTATAAATTGGTACGCTCTTTTAAATTTGAACTACAAAAATTGCGTTTAACGTAATTAAATATAGTCAAGTAGCATTTAGCAATTGAAGAATCTATCTTAAATAATTATATAAATAGTTTGCGTAACATTTTTAGGTCTGGGCCTCAGATTTGTGTATCGGTTTCATGATTTATCAATCTAATAGGCAAGTAGGTGATCAGCCTCCTGTGCTTGACATACGCCGGCGACTTTTTGGATCTAAGGCATCATTTCCTCACGATGTTGTCCTTCACCGTTCGAGCGAATTTTAAATTAACATAGAAATAAAATCCATTGGTGCACAGCCGGGAGCCAATCTGCGACCTCATTAATAAAATTTCAATGAGGTATATATTACGTAATAGTTCATAACATTAATACACGCAAACAGCAATAAATTCAATAAAGAAACGAGAGTCATAAATTGTAAACTTTAACTTTGTCCCTATTTCTTTGTAGGAATAGGGTTGTCAGCTGAAAATATTTTTAATTACGTTTCGTGGGGAAAAGTTCGATCAAAGAACCAAAGCTTTATAAATAATTAGTTGTTGGCGATTTAAAAGAGTGACGGAGAGTTTGTTGCCAGTTCTCATACGTTGTACGCACTTGGCAGTAAATTTAAATTTAGAACCATTAATTTTTCTACTGTAGTCCATAAGTGTACATTTTATAAATAAATGATATTTTGATTTTGTTTTGCCTTATCTGTTCGTAATAGATACTTTTTATTAAGTTGAAGATAATGGATATTTGATACAGCCAATCACAATCACGTTTGATTTCACATTATCTTGGTTAGACGCCCTTGTATTCTTAAAATATACAAGAAAATATGACTTCACAAATTGTACACACATACATCAATGACATTAGATCATAAAAATTTCAAATTAACATGGAGAATTTACCACAAGCAAACAGCAAAAAAAACTTAAACTAAATAGAGACTTTAACCCACTAAGAACTTAATACACAAAATTACGGTAAATATTTTGATTTAAATTTTTAACGGTAATTTTTTTCACGCAATCATTTAATTACTGAGTCATTGAACCAAATCGGGGTTGTTATTATTATTGTTTTGATATATATCTATTATATTTTTTTTTTTTTTTAAGACAATTCACACCAATTGACCTAGTCCCATGCTAAGCTGGTGAAGCTTGTGTTATGGGTACTAGGCAACGGATATACATACATATTATAGATAGATAGACATATAAATACATATTTAAACACCCAAGACCTAAGTACAGCACCAAATGCTCATCACATCGATGTTCGTCTCAGCCGGGGATCGAACCCGGGACCCATGGCTTCGCAGTCAGGGGTACTAACCACTAGACCAATGAGTCGTCTGTTATGATTAATTACGTAGTACCGTACAGTGTACAAAATATTTCGTGTTTACTTTTCGTACTTGTATACAAATACTTTACATCATCAGTTTAACATTGTTTTATTATTTGACAATAATTGTAAATATAATTTGAGTTTATCTTTGGATATCTAAATTTGTCTTGCCTGACTTGCTATGAAGCACAAAGAACGGTTTGGTGGCCGTTAGTACACAATTAATATTAAGTACATGCCTCTATATATCTTTGATTTTACCCACATAGATAGAAACGACTTGACGACTCATTGGTCTAGTGGTTAGTGCCCTGACTGCGAATCCATGGGTCCCGGGTTCGATATACTCGTGAACAGGTGCTACTGGTTGTACTTGAATTCGTGTATGCGGTGATGTTAATTATTTCGACTATGTGTTTGCGTGTTGTTCCAACAGATTGTAAGTGCGTGATCCTATTTCACCATCCTCCTCTATAGAGGACAAGTCTTTGTTTTTAATTTATGTTATTATTATTAATTACTTAAGATGTCATGTGCAACATGGTGAAATGGTTGCACTCCTACAAACTTTAAAAAAACATCATTAAAAGATGGCAAAGTTTATTGCCAGTTCTTCTCTTCCGTTCTACCCCTTGATTTGTGAACTGGCAGTAAATTAAAATTGAAGCATTAATATGTATTTCTTTAATACGAATCACAAGTTCATTGTGTTACCTACTAATAAATGTTTTTTTTTTTTTTGATCCCCGGCTGAGACGAACATCGATGTGATGAGCATTTGGTGTTGTGCTTAGGTCTTGGGTGTTTAAATATGTATTTATACGTCTATCTATCTATAATATGTATGTATATCCGTTCCTAGTACCCATAACACAAGCTTCACCACTAGCATGGGGTAGGTCAATTGGTGATTGAATTAAAAAAAAAAACGAAATGTTGTACGAATAATTCCTAAAAGATAAACTCAAATTATATTTATATCTTCATACAAAAGCACAGAAATCTGTGGGATCAGAATTATCCTGTAAACATTTTGTGTCTAATTCATTGTTATTTTTTTTTAAAGGACAGTTCCCTACACGGATTTTGTGTCTATGAAAGTTCTTCACGATCTTTTTAACACTGGCGCTACAAACTCCGGGCCTGAAATTTATTTATCTGTTACATGATAAGTTAGTATTCATTGAAAAAATCTATTGGTTTATAGAAGAGTTTGAACACACGATTTCAGGTTTGTCATTTGCCCGTACACAAAGTACAACTGCTCATATCGAATATAGAATTTTAATTAGGGTCCTTCAAGACTTAAAACGCCGGCAGCGAGCACCGTGGCATTAATAGTATCCATGGGCCATTATCACTTAACACTTTGAGCCTCAGCTGCGGCATATTTTCCCCCTTTTTATAAAAAAATCTCCTCTATAGTAAGTTTGCCAACCTATCTCGTAGCTCAGGGGCAGGTAACAGTCAGTCACAACCAATCCATAACCATTACTACTACTTGCGTGACGTGACTAATAATACCTCTTACTTGAGCTTATTAACCAAATAATCGTAACACTCTTATTCTGGTAGTAAGCAATGAAAATGTATACCTAAGTTATGCTATTACCAGTTGGTAACAATTACAGATCCGCTGAAACTACCAAAGAACCTCAAGGTTACACAGGCACTATATTCTAGATTCTAGAAGAACGTTAACTAGAATTTTATAATAGAACAGGTATTGCTTTGTCTACCACGTCCATTTCACATAGAAGAATAACCAAGAAGTATGTTTAATCACACTGGCGCTTACTATGTAAAGATTACCGTTGTTTCCTTTTTTCACTATTTTGTGGCTGTAGCGGTAACTATACTCCATAAAACCATGGCTGTCATGAAACTCAGCAACTTTAAAATACATGCTTACAATGCCACTTACATGTGATAATTACAAAATAAATGACGATTATCGATAATGTCTGTCCGATATATGTTACGCCCACCAAAATCCTCTGTAGGTGAATTCGATTTCACAATTTACCTCCGACTTCAAATACTGAAATGATACCAATTGTTCAATAATTGTTTCTCGAAAATATTATGCTCAAAGTGTATAACGTTTCTTTCTATTCTTTAAACTTTTTTATTCATTTCTATTAATAAATAAAAACTTCGGATGTACACGGCGAGAGTTGTGGAGCTGTTAGACCTGCTTTTACTTTGGAATTGTACTAGAAAAAGGATCTTCTTCTTCTTCGCAAACTTCATTACTGAAGGTCATCTTGAAAGCCCTAATACATCGAGTTGCTGCCTCCACACCTCCACCATCAGCTTGTCTCAGTGCATTAGAGATGTTGAGACCCTAATTGTCTGTACCAGGTCACCAACAGGTAGGCGATCGACCTCTCCTGCCAGCACTCCTACCTACCATTACCAACTTGTCGAGACTATTCGGTTCTGTCCAAACAATATGGCCAAAGTAGTGGCACCCGTTTATAAATAATAGTCGACAGTTTGTGGTGATTTTTAGTTGGTTGAGAATGGACTTATTGGCTCTTTTTGCAGTCCATGGTATTCAAAGAAGTGGTATGTAAAAACCTCTGTATAGATCTGTGTTATCAAACCCCTTTGGGAAACAGGCGTACCCTATAAAAATAAAGTACTTTAATTCGATT